TTCTTTTTTTTTTTTTTTTCAGGTTTTTGCCATAAGCACATGTGTTCACAGGAAAGAGACAGAGAGAGATAGTGAGAAGGAAAGTAAAAACTCAGCCCCCCAGGGGGATGGCCACGCTGTAATCCCTTCTTCTACGTTTTCCTCTCAGGATTTTGGGCAAGCACACAAGCACACAGGACCAGCATGAGTTTCAAGTCGCTGGGTCTGAGACTCGAACTGTGGTCAGCAATGTGGAATCTAACACTCTGACTACCATACCACCCGCTGACCCCGTCTATTGATTTATTTTTTTGTTGTTGAGAGGTTTTTGCTATAGGGTGAGTGCACTCGCCAGAAACACAGAGAGAGAGAGACAGAGAGATAGAAAGCGAGAAATCACCCCTCAGGGGTGATGGCCATGCCACAATCCCTTCTCCTCCATTCTCCTCTTGGGATCTTGGGCACGCACGTACACGTGCCCGGTATGAGTTTTAGCCCCCAGGTCCTGGACTCAAACCACAGTCGACTGCATGGGAGTCCAGCGACATAGCCATTATGCTAACTGCTGGTCCCCCCTGTCTATTGATTTTTAAGACCTCTTTATATGTCAAGGAAATTAGCCTTTTTGTGATGTGAATTATAAATAGTTTTCACAGATTGTCATATTTCTTCCATTCTTTTCCTTCCATGCAAGGTCATACACAAAAAACCTCTCCAGAACTATTGAATTTTTTAAGAGAGATTTTTTTTTTTCTGTAGGGAGCATGCCCTCGCCAAAGACACAAAGAGAGACAGACAGTGAGAAATCACCTCCCAGGGGGATGGCCACACAACAATCCCTTCTCCATTCTCTCAGTAATTTGTGCATACCCACACACGCACCTGGCATGATTTTTAAGTCACCAGATCTGGGACTTGAACCATGGTCAGCCATGGGGGAGTCCAGTGCCTTAACCACTACACCAAATGCTGGTCCTTATTTCAATATATATATTTTTTTCAGTTTGGGGGGGAGGTCTGTCAGGTGGCAAGGTGTCTGAGGCACTGAACTTCCACATGGCCGACTGCAGTCCAGGACTTGGTGGCTTGCTTTCTCTCTCTCCCTTTCTCTGTCTCTCTCTGGTCAAGTTGAATAATAGTAATAATGAAAATTAAATAAATAATTCTTTTCTTTTCATTTAGGGAACTTTTTAAAAATGTTCTGTAGGGTATGCACACTTGCAGGGGGAGGGGCAAAGAGTGAAAGACAGAGGGAAGGTGAGAAAGCGTTCCCCAGTGGAGCATCGTCACAGAACAATTCCCCTGCCTCCATTTCTTCATCCTGTCTGGACCCTGGGCATGCACCTGGTGTATTTCTACAGAGCTAGGATTCAAACCAGTCAGCCATGGGGGAGTCCAGCTCCCCTAACCACTAGGCTACAGGGTCAACCCCAATCAACAGCATATTCAAAGGAAATATTTGTCTGAGATGAAGCAATGCAGCTCAGGCACTATCTCGGCTAAGGGGATGCCAGTAAAGTTTGACTTGCAGATAAATAATAGATTATTTTTTAACTGTAAGTATGTCCCCAAGCAATGTTAGGGACATACTTCTACTACAAAATGTTTCACTGGTTATCTGAAATCAGTTCACCTGGGTGTCCTGTTTTATCTGGATGTGACTTGATCCTGCTCCCAGGGGACCAAGCCAAACCCAGCTTCCAGGAACCGGTGGCCAGCTATTGATCGGCTGGGGGTGAGGGGGCAGGAGTGGAAGGCCAAAGAAGAAGATAAGAGAGAAAAGAAAAAAGAGATTTGATCTGATGAGGGCCTGAAGCTGGAAGGAGCTGGGGACTTCTAATCTAATCATCCCCAGTCACCATAGAAACCAGCTGTAAAGTCAGCTGAGCAAGCCGGTGAGCTCCAGTATTTATTGCCCTTCTGTGAGTGTAGACAGTCCACATTCCCTTTGCCACATGATTCTCTCATCAACCCCCTCTCCCCTGCAAGCTCCTCCAAGCACCTCACTGCTTTCCAGCCAGAGCCTCAGATGGCTGCCCTTCAACTCCATCCTGCTGAGAGAGACCCCCAACAGGACACCCATCTCTGCCCTGAGGAGGTGGTGTTCTGGCTGGGGAATCAATTACTTGGGAGGGAAATGGCCCACGGATATCCCAGGAAAACTTCTTTAAAAAAGAAAACAAACCCAGGTCTGCCCACGCATCTCTGTCCTTCCCAGGGTAAAGAACCTCTCTCCTAATCAGGGTGTGATTAAACTGATTGGGAAAATGTTCAGTCTTTCAGACGAGCCACAGGCTAGTGGTAGGCTTTGAATACAAATGCAGCGAGCTTTTTATTTGACTCTGGAAATCAGAGGCTCTTTGAAGGTAACATGCAAATTTGTTCCAACTGTCCCGGACTCCAGGAGAAAAGGCCGGAAAACTGACTCAAGCATTTATGCAAATCCTGAGACAGGTTTTTCAAGGCATGGCCAGTGCTGGGGTCTTCTCTGTACCTCCTGATGGATAGGCTTTGTCCTCACACTAGCTGTCCTGTTGCTCTTCCCGAAAGCCTTGCACGCTTCCACACCTGTTCTCTTGCACAACAAGCTAGGAATGTTGTGCCCATTTTCCGGATAGGAAAGCCAACCTCTGAGTGGTTAAGCTACTGACCAAACACGGTCACTTTGCTGTAAGTGGCAGGTGCAACCGGAAGCCTCCCCTCCGCTCTCTTCCCTAGTCAGGGACGATTTGCACAGAAATCATGTGACGCCTGTTGGATGATGTCAAGAATACTAAGAGTACTTCGAGTACGAAGATTCCATACACTTAGTGGCACATAACGAAATCTCTGTCACCCCAACCACGCTGAAGGACTCGGTGGCAGGACGTCCCTAACACTCAGTGTAGTTCCTTCCTTTACTGAAAACCTGCTATGTTTGCTCTCTTTTGTAATTTGGATCTTCATATAGGTTGTTGTTTTCTTGAATCGGGACAAATTCGAGCAATTACGTGACAACTTTGAGGCCAGGTCACCACAGGAAGGCTGGCCTACCTTTGACATTCCTCTAAAGGCTCAGAAAGGGAGGGAAGAGGCTCCTTCCTGCCCCACCTCACCCTATCCAGTGTCTCCACCATCCCCAGTCACCAGATATAGCAATGGCTTCCCTGGGCAGTGTCATCAAGCCCACCAAATCTTCCCAGGAATTTAAGAAGGTGGACATTCCAACCAAGTACAGTCATCTCCATAATCCCTCAACCCCCAGCGGATACCAAAACTCATGGATGCTCCCTTATATAACGTGGCTGGTGTCTGCATACAACCCACACACAACCTTCCACATAGTTTAAATCATCTCTAGATGACGTGTAATACCTAACACGATGGAAATGCTCTGTAAATATGTTATAGGGCATTGTTAGGAGAATACTGATAATAAGAAAAGTCAGTACGTGTTCAGTACAGGGGCAGCCATTCTAGGCCTAACTCCACCGTGGATGGGAACAGCCACAAGAAACCACAGATGCAGAACTCACAGATCCAGAGGGCTGGCTGCATTTTTTTTTAATAATTATTTTATTTTATTTATTTATTTTTTTAATTTGTTACAGGGCACACGCACTCACCAGAGAAAGACAGGGAGAGAGGGAAAGTGAGAAAGCAAGCCACCCAGTCTGGGACTCAAACCACAGTCAGCCATGTGGGAGGCCAGCACGTTAACCACCACACCACCTGCTAGTTCCTTGCACTGACTTTATTAAGTATTAATGTTTGTGCTGATTTGCAGACGTGTTGTTTAACCCAGAAAAATCAAAGCTTCCCAAAATTATGATGCAAAATGTATTCCACGTCCAGCGCTCTAGTCCTGAATTTCATCAAATAACAATCTGTGGATTTTGCAAAACCTGTGTATAGACCCACTCGTCCTGATTCTGTCCACTTTTCTCAGAATCCCTGTCTCCTGAGGCCCTGGTGCCTTAGCCCTGGACTTGCCTCTAGCAGTAAGCACTAAGATTGGCCCGAATGTTACCTGTAAAACCCCTGTTAGCCAGGTGGCAGGGACCTGGAGCCTCCCTGGTGTGAGGGCGGGCCATCACCTTCATGGTGTCTCCGCCTGTAATGAGCTCCCTCTCCCTCTTCCACCTGAAGCAATCCTGCTCCTCCTTCAAGTCCCTGTTCAAATCCTCCAGCCCGGCTACAGAGGCACAGGTGTCAGGGCACTGCTATATTAAACTAGAACCATCCAGGAGGCTCTGTTTCAAATCCTGGGTCAATCTGAACACTCTGGTCCTGGTTGGCTGAGGGGAGGACTGAAGCAGGACAAGATCCTGCCAAGGTCTCTTCCTCCCTCTTTCTCTCAAAAATAAATAAATAAATAAATAAATAAATAAACTTTAAAAAGAAAGAAAAGGTGCCAGCAGATGGTGGAGGTTAAGGAGGCTGGATCCCACATGGCCAACTACTCAGTTCAAGTCCCAAATCCTGTGACTTGAAACACATGCCCAGCATGTTTGCCTATGTGCACGTGCTCAGAATCTCAAGAGGAGAATGAAGACAGAAAGAAAGAAAACCCCTGTCAATTCCAACTTCATGGGGCCGCTACGAAAACTGAGGCCAGGGACCAGCAGTTAGCGTAATGGCTATGTCGCTGGACTACCATGTAGTTGGTCACGGTTCGCATCCCAGACCTGGTGGCTTAAAACTCACGCTGGGTGTGTGTGCGTGCATGCCCAAGATCCCGAGAAGAGAATGGAGGAGAAGGGATTGCAGCATGGCCATCCCCCCTAGAGGTGATTTCTTGCTTTCTATCTCTCTGTCTCTCTCTGTCTGGCGAGCGCATGTGCCCTATGGCAAAAAAAAAAAAAATTCTCAAAAAACAAACAAACAAAAAACTGAGGCCACAAAGCTCAGGCCTGACACATATGAGATACCTGCTCAAAGACAAGCTACTGACCCGGGATGGTTCAGATTGTCACAGTCATTCCTAGCTCCCCGCCTCCATGAAGAACCCATCCCTCCCTCCCTTGCGCATTCTCCCACAGTTGCACAGCTAACACCGCCCAGCCCATCCTCAGCGAATCCAAGTTCCTTAAAGGCAGTGACCTTGTCCCGCTTCTCTTCAGGGCCCTATACCAGGCTTGGACCTTCTGCTTAGTGGGCTTCATGGGTATTTGCCAATAAATCCTCCTCTCTGCTGGCTCCAGAGACAGCAGTTTGATGAATGGTGAGAACATCATGGTAAATTAAAATGCGTTTATGATATGACTGTAGAGACAGACAGAGGCTGAGCTACTAGTGACATCATGTCGGGCTGGTGACACCAGTGATCGTTGGTAATGTTCACTTGAGAACAGTGCCCTAGACCTGAACACCTGTGGGGAAATGGTCCAGACCCCCGTGAATGAGTCACTGGCCTGCAGGAGCTGTCCCCCATAGCTGGCGCGGGCTGCCCGTCTGTCCCTCGGCACAGAATGAAGCAATGTCTCATTCATCCCTACAGGGCCCTGTCTCAGTAAATGTTTTAGGTAAGTGAATTCCTTTTAGTTTTCAAGAAACTAGTGGTGGTTTGGGACCAAGATGTTCCAAAGAAACCTCCTTGAGATCTCCTCAGGACAGAAGAGAGCAGGCTCCAGTGAAGGAAAGTTCTGGAATAGTCTGAGCCCATGCTCCATGTTCTCCTCAGCCTCTGCACCATCGCACAGCCACTCCCTCCCACAGGAAAGCCCTCCCCCCGCCCCCAGTGACCTCCTATTTCTGTCTAGGGCTCCACTCCTATGCCCGCTCCATCAGATCCTCCTGCAGTAAAGGGTCTGGGGCAGCCCCTTGAGAGCGTCCGAGTCTTCACTGGCTGGTTGCACAAGCTCAAGGCAGTCTAAGGGCAAGCAGAGGAGCCCACTGATGGGAGCTATCTCTCCCTCGGTACTGCAGTACCTAGGTCTGCAGCTCTTGGGGGACGTGCCTGCTGGTCTGAAACAGCTCCTCTATGGGGTCTTGCCTCTGGAGTGGGATGCACACTACCATGCTAGAAGAGGAAGGCCATGGCTGGCACTGAGAACCGGGAGGAGGATGTTTCAAGCCAGAAATCAACTCCCAGTAAACCGAGGGACAGTCTGCATCTGGAGTCCAGGAAGGAGCAGTGTGCAGGCCTAGAGCAGGTGTGAGGCTAGTGCTGGGCAAGGGTGCTGTTTGGAGAACTTTGGAGACTGAAGAATCTGGGTGCAAACCCCACGCCATCACTCACTAGCCTCTTCTTAAAGAACTCGGCTTCTCTCAACTGTGTTTCCTCAGCTGTGAAACGGTCTCTCCCTGGGTGCAGATTCTGCTGAGAGATGTGAACAACTGAGGCACCTGGGATCCCTAGGGACACTTCCCAGGTCTCCCAGAATTCCCGGGCGATTCTGACGCAAGGTGTCTGCACCTTGCAGCTGGTCTCTAACACGTTTCTGTTCAATCTCTCTGAACCGTTTACAAAACGCTCTAATCTCCACGACGCACCCTCACTGCATCGTCTCATCAGACCCTTTTACAAACAGGGAGACCCCCGGCCGGCCATGCCTTGGCAGAGTTACCCTGGGAACACCAGCACGCCCGCAGCCCACCCTGGACAGCGCTGGCACCGCTGTCCCGACGCACTCCTGGGGGCGGGGCGAGCGGGCGCGGGGCGGGGCTGGCTCGGGTCACGTGAGGCCCGGCCCGGCCCGGAAGCTCTCGAAGACCCCCCCCGGGGGACCCGGGCGGGAGCTGCTGGCTGGAGCAAGCCCACGCCGCCGCCGCCATGGCCTGGACCAGGTACCAGCTGTTCCTGGCCGGGCTCATGCTCGTCACCGGCTCCATCAACACGCTCTCGGCAAAGTGAGTCTGGGCCGGATCGGGAGCGGGCTCCGCTGGGCCCGAGGGCGCTGGCGACCCCGCGCACCTGCCCGCCCGCCCCTCTCAGCTGTGCTTTCCTGGCTTCTCCGGTTCTCGCAGTCTGTGCGGTCGGTCCCCGTGCTTTATGGCCACCCAAGGGAAGCGAGGCCGCGCCCGGGCAGGGGACCCGAGCCCCGGCTTTGATTCACTGTCACGTCCCATCTCCGTGTCTCATTTTTCTCATCTTTAACGGGAGTGTTGGACCAGTTCCTCTCTGAGCCTGAACCCCACCCTGCAAGAGCGGGGGACCAGAGGGGAGGCCCCAGGACTTGTGCACATGAGCCACAGTAGGGTCCATACAGGCCCAGTGACCAGTGGGCGGGAAGGGCAGTGGGCAGAGAAGACCCAGCGGCCCCTCAGAGAGCAGGGGTTAGCTGCACCTTGCAGCCTGGTGGGATTTCTATAAGTGGTGGGGACTTGGCAGGGAGCCAAAAGGCCTGGTCGAAGTTGATTGTGACCAGCATCAAATAACTGCGTTGATTTTATCCGGTAATCAGAGAGGAGCTTTTAGGATGGGGAGTGACGTGTTGACAGTGATGTAACTGAAAGGGAGAACAATGATCCTGTTAACCTAGTGGTCAACGCAAAGAGTGGTTTGGTGCAGGGATAAACCTGTGTGGCAGATGAGGGCAACTAGGAGGTGGCACAGAGGAGGGACAGGAAGGCACAGGTGGGAGAGACCACAGGCCTGCTAGCAGAGGCCAGAGGCAAGGAAACTCCAGACTTCCTAGAGGAGCAGTGTCATTAGGCCAGACGGAGAGGGCAGGGAGGGCAGGCGGGTAGTTCAGCTCTGATGCATGGGGGCGAGGCAGCGATGGCCTGCCAGGAGGCTGGGAGTGAGTACCCAGATATAGCCTCCTTTGTGTCCCGGGCAGGGAGGCAGCCTTGTCTCTGGGCAACCGTTTGTGTTTTCTCTGTCCCCAGCTCAGTGCTGTTCACTGTTGAGAACCCCAGTGCCCAGGACCTGGCCTTTCTCTGAACTGATTCTGAGAGCAGTGGGCACTGCCCTTCCCTGTTAGACGGCACCTCCACTGGGCCTGTCGGGCTCCAGAGCTGACTCGAGGACCTCCAGCTGCAGCTGTTCCACCCTCTGAGCATGCTCCACGTCCCTGGGTTTTCTGCTGGGTTCCACACTGTGAGAAGCTGACTGTGAGTCCTTGCAAGGAGCAGCCATTTCTCATTCACTTCTGAGGCATTCGGACCTGGCACATTCCACCAGTGATAAGAGATTAAATCTCCTCTGCCGTTTGCCTCAGAAGGAAGAACTGGGAGAGAGGGAACTCATCGGACATGTGCGAGGTGCCCACAGTGTGTGAGGAGACAGATGTGACTGCAGGCAGGTCTTGGTCTTTGAGAAGCCTAGAATCCGAGGTGGAGGTGACAAATGTGTACACACATGGTGGCCTCAATGTCCTTCCTTCCCCAAAGGGAGGGCAGAGTGAGTCACTGGGGCTTTGGGTGGGCCCCACCTGTTTCTACCGTTCACTTCTGGCCAGCTGTGTCTCATGGAGGGCTGCTGGTCTCCTGGGCTTTGAGCCCTTCTATACGGTGCTCTGTTACTGCAAAGGAGCCCCAGCCCAAGGGCTCCCATCCCAGGATCTGAACTCAGAACAACTCCTCCATCCAGCCATCCCACTGACCAAGGCTTGGTCAAGTGCTTGGAGCACGGCTGTAAGTCTGCCCGGGTAGCTATGCCCAAGGGGAGTCCAGATTGCCAGCTACTGCTAGTGTAAACTGTGCTGACTCGGTTCTTTCCATAAAAAGCTCCAAACCAGTCAGGTAGGAAGCCACGAGATCGGTCTCTAAGGAGGCAACGCCCTTGGCAGCTGCCTGAGAGTCTGGAAGGAGGATCCGAGGTGGGAGGTCCGACCTTCGGTCTTATCCCCTGCCCTGCAGCCTGGATCCTCCCATCCTGAGATGGGCCCCAGAACCGAAATTGGGCCCTGAACAGAGTTCTAGGGCTAAACCGTGAGCAGGATACTCTTCGTGAGAATGGATGTGGGGGAACAGCTGTGTACACCCCGATGTGAGTCAGCGATTCAGAAGTCCAGTCCTAGTCTGAGTTTCCAGCAGGTAGACATGTGATCATAACCAGCTTAACCAACTCATGCCCAGAAAGCATCCCTCCCCATGGGCCAGGGCCTGCCCCGGACACCTGTCATGTGTGAACCCAGTAGATTCTCTCAACCACCTGTGAGGTAAACTCATCCCTGAGTGAGAAAACCGAGGTATGGAGAGGTGACATCACACCACTAAGTAGCACAATTTACAGGTAGGCCAGAGGGGCCTGGCTCGAGAATCCATCCTCTTAACCACGTGGTGGGTAAGGCTGGGAACTTTGGAGTCCAGTCAAATTTGGGGCATTTAGAGTTGCCAGAAACATAAAAATCATCCAGCCTAATCCCACAATTTACAGGGGAGACCACAAGAGAACTTTGCTTTTGTGAGTCAACTGGTTGGTTGCAGAATGGGCTGGAAGCCAGACCTCAGGTTCTCATCCTATGCTGTCCCACTATGGCTGCTGGCAGGCCCCAGAGCCCCTCCTCCTGGGAGAGTCCTCTTCCCAGACCAGGACTGACAAGCCTATGTCCCAGGAAGGTGTAATCCTGTAGGTGGCCCTACCTCTCCCAGCCCTCAGGGTACCCTCCCTCTAGGACGGGCCATCGCCCCATGTGCCTTGCCCTTGGAGCCCAAGGCCACTCAGGGTTCGCACCAAGAGGCTCTGGCAGTTTCTTGGCCCTGTCCCTGGTTTGGGAGGTCGAAAGGCAGTGGATAAGGAAGTGTGTGAGCACGTGCTGCTGCCGGGCCGGGCCGACAGACCAGCCCTCCTCTCTGCCTGCTCAGCAGGTTTTAGAAGGCCACGGGGAGACAGGAACGCCCTGGCAGGCGTGGGGATAGGAGTCACGTGCCTCCTGGGAGGAAAAGCCACCGGTCAGCTGGCCCTAGGCCCCTGCCTGTGAAGTGGTCACTTCTCCTTTCCTTGACTTTCTCACCAGCACCTGTCAGTCATCTCCTTGAGACCAGATCATTTCTGTGTGCTTGAACCAGTGCCCATCTGTAGAGTGGTACCCATCGCAGAGCCCTGGTCTCCCAGATCCAGCTGGAGCTCTGCAGCTCAGGGTCAAGGAACACCACTGAGTGAGGCTCAGCTCCCCTCGAAAGCCTCTGTGGGCTGTGGGCCCACCCAGCCAGCCATTCCGTGGCCCTGTGTGACTCAGAAGTCCGAGCTGTCCACGTATTCTGCTGCCTTTCAGAGTGTAAGCTCAAGCAGAGTTCCACTCTGAATCTTCCTCCTCATTACTAGTGAGCGCTACCGGCTCTTTCTACCCCTCTACCCCAGGGCTTGATGTTCCTATCTGCAAAGAAGCTCTGTTTTCATGGGTGGCTTACAAAGGACAACACACGTGAAGTGCTCGGCACAGGCCTGGTGACTCAGGGAGGGGCATATGCCTGACTTGCATTCATCCCTGGGCCAGGGGCCCTGCCAGGAAAGTGGCAGGAAGCCTGGGACCAGCTTGGCAGCCGCCCCCACCCTAAAACTTAATAAACTGGCATGGGGGTTCTTGCTTCAAAGGCTTGCTGGGCCAGCTTGAGGAAGCCTTAAATCAGGAGGGCAGTGTAAGAGTAGAAAGAACGTGAGGCGTGGCAGCTGTGGGGTTAGATGAGTCACCTGGCCTCTCCAAGCCTTGGTCTCTTCATCTGTGAAATGGGCATGATAATCCCTGCCCAGCCTTCCAGACGCTCTGGAGGGTCTACTGAAGAGGATTTTCTAGCTCATGGAGATGAGGGAGGCTCACTGTCATTTATCACCTTATAAACCCAGCCACTTACTGAGACACCCCAGAAAGTGGAGAGCCTGTACCACTTCCGTAGCTCCCCCGGCAGGAGAAAGAGGCTGACTCACTGGGCTTGACAGCTGGATTGCTGAGGGGAAATGGCAGAGATTCTGCAGGAATGAACACACAACTCCTCAGCCTGAGCCGGCCACATCAGCCACTTCCTCAGTCCGCCCACCACCCACAGCCTACATGTGGGCACACGCACCTCCCAGGATGCTGAGCTTTGAGTTTGGGTGCCAGGGAGTAATGCCAGCCTCTGCCAGCAAAGGGTACTTCCTCATGGGGGCGTCTTAGCCTATCCCTCCTAGGGCCTGCAGGCCCCCTGCCCTAGAGGCCAGGGCTTTCCCCCAGAATCCAGTGTCTGTGGAGAATGAAGCCACATGGCCAGGCTGACCCCCTCCTCTTCCCAGCAGAGGGAGCAGGGGGATCTGAAATGAGAGGGTCACAGGAGAGCGTCAGAGTGTCCAGGAAGGGACATAGACCTGGACATCGAGATTCCTGGGTGCTAGCCCTGTCTGGACACCTAAGGAGCCCTGTGTTCCTCCATGCTCTGTGCGACTCAAAAGAGCTTCCCATGTATTCTGCTGCCTTTTCTGAGTGCAAATTTTAGGGTTTCGCCCAAATCTTTCCCTTGTTAACTGTGAGCTCCACCAGCTCTTTCTACCCCAGCACTTGGAGTTCCTGTCTGTAAAATGGGATCCTTAGTGGGCGGCTGACATGGGACAACGCACATGAAATGCCCAGCACAGGGCTGGCCCAAAGTCAGTGCTTGGTGAATTGTGCACTAAAGAAAGCATATCTGTGAAGCACTGACGAGTGGCAAAGTGCCACCCCACCTTAGGGGTCAGTGCAGTCATCCCAGACGGGCGGGCTGGATTTGGGCTTTGTCCATGAGACCTACAGTCCTTCTGAGCTTGCGCAATGAGCCAAGCCTGTCACTGGGCCACAGGGAGAAAGCCGACTTCTCCATCCAGTGTGGCTGCAGGCCCTAGCCTCTCCTCACTGACACCCAATCCCTCAGGCTGCAAGCCTGCCTCAGACCCTCAGATACAAAGAGATCCTGTTTCTCAGCAGCTGGGAATGTCGCCATCAGGGCCTGTCCGGGCAGACCTACCCATGGACACAGCAGACAGCCCTGCATCAGCACCAGCCCCACTGCCAGCTCCTGTGAGGTGCCCAGCCCTGGGGAAGGACAGGCCCCAGAGGGGTTGCCCTTTCAGCCCAGCCTGTTTCATCAACTGGGGGCACCTCAGACCTGGAGGGGCAGCAGGGCTCACAAGACAGCCCCTGGGCTGCTGGACCTGGCCAGATTGCTAGGTGAGGTCCAGGGCTCACTCATTCAGCAGACACTTGAGCTTCTGTGTAGTAAGGCCAGGAGCAAGGAACTAAGAGATGTGGACAGAGCCGGACCCCAAGCTTCTCAGGTGACAGTGAACGTGGAACCAGAAGGTGCTATGGAGGTGAGTTGTCACACCTGCCAGCTGTGCAGGCAGTGGTCCAGGATGAGTTCTGTGCGGTGGCACCACTAATAAATCTGGGAGGACTTCTTGGGTCTGCCATGTGTGGTCTGGGTATGGCACTAGGATGAGGAAGTGACTTCTGAACTTGCTACCCCTTCTGAAAAGGAAAGTCCCTGCCTTAGGCTTCTGGTTGACCATCCTGGACTTGACAGCCTCTGTCCCACGCGGGGGAGCCCTGGCTCCAGCCCTGGCAGTTCCTGTCTCTGACCGCTCGCTTGCTCCGGGGCAGGTGACTGCGTTTGGTGAAACTTGACCTCTGCTCTCCTCCTGCTTCCCTGTTTGGCACAGTTGCCTCACCCAGACCTTCCTCATGGGCCTTTTGCTTCCCTGTTTGGCACAGTTGCCTCACCCAGGCCTTCCCCATGGACTCTCACTGCAAAAGCAAGCCGGGGTTGGAGGGCACCTTGCCTGGGTGGGCTGTGCACACCCACATCCAAGTCCTGTCCTGCCTGGGGATCCAAGAGTCCGAAGCAGCAGAAGATCAGGCAGGGCTGGATCTGAGAAGAGGTGGCTGTTCTGTAGCAGGGTCTTTCTTTGCCCCTTCGGTGCTGGAGCTGGTTACAGCCCGGTCCCTGACCGTGCAGGGCTCCAGGTTCCTCTGCCTTCTAACCACTCATGTCTAAACCGTACTCCTTCCTCCCACTCTCCTGTGACCCCACCATTCCCAAGCTTACAAGCGCTTCTCATTGCCCCCCTTTCTCTACATCTCCGGAATTGTGGGGGATCGGTTTGCTGAAGCCGTTTTGTTCCCTCACTCTGGGGTGCGCTCAGTTCTCTGAGTAGATCTAGAGCTCCATCACCCCCAGCTCGCCCTGCCTACTGCCTGGACCTGGGCATCATGCCCCTGCCCTGGGCGGTAGAAAAGAGCACCCTGTCTCCTTCTCCAAACTCAGGGACACAAAGAAACCAGGGACGAACAGGCTCTTCGTCACACCCAGGCTGTAACTCTTGGTACAAGCAGTGGCCTGGGCTCCCGTGGGCTGTGGGGCGGCATGGGAACCAGAAGACTCCTCTGGCCTCTGGGAGCTCCAGCTCGTTACAGAGAAGCCAGTGTGATATGGCTGCTCTGGAAAGACTGCGGATCCTGCCCTTAGAGACGTGTGCTGTTTGTGTGGGGGTACTGTGGCGTGAGCAGGTCAGCGGCCCCCAGGAAGCAGCTCTGGGTCTGCCTGAACCTGAGCCCATGATGCAGCTGCCGCTGTCAGAGCTCTGTGCCTACCCCAAGATGTCCCACACCAGGAGGGGCCACCGCCTCGCCATTCTCAGTCTGGGCCAGATCACACGCTCTTGGCTCTGGGCCTGGGCCCCGGGAGCCAGGCTTCCCGAAGCCAGCAGCCAGGGGAGCAGGAGGGGAGGCAGGGCCAGGGCTGAACTGTTAGGTCTGGGGTCATTTCCATGAGCCCACAAACCCTGGCGGTTGGTACTCCTATGCCACCTGTCCCTTTGACAGTGTGGTGTCTGTGGACCTCTATTACAGTAATGTCTTAATATGTGCAAATTAGAGACCACAGACTACAGAAGAAGCCAATTAAATTGTAATAAGGTTATCAAACATTTAAAAAGCAAATTTGTGACAGAGTTACATATGTATGTGTGCTGCTTAATACATTAGATTCTAAGCACTGGGCCTAATGACTGTAATTTTGATGAGTTATGCGTGTAAATGATTCTTCACAATCTCTGCAGTCACTAATGTGATCCTGAGAATACCCTGATGTCTACACATTTCAAAGGTATGGGTACTGCAGTTCCACATTCATCATGTAAGGAAAGGCCAGAGTAAAACCCCTTGCTCTGAAGACTGGCCTCTGAGAGGGAGCCCCACTTTGCAGTAGTCACCCAGGTCTGGCCTCTTGGTGCTGAGAGGGGCCTCCTGAGAGCACTGGGGCAGCGTGGAGAATGCTGAGTGTTGCCGGGGTCTGACCTCCTCTCTCTGCTGCAGGTGGGCGGACAACTTCACGGCCGAGGGCTGCGGAGGAAGCCAGGAGCACAGCTTCCAGCACCCCTTCCTCCAGGTATCTGGCCCCGTCCCTCCCCATCTCCCATCTGCCAGGTGTCCGGGCTGCTCCCTAACCTAAGAAGCAGAAGAGCCCTCTGTTTCTCTTTTTCCATCCCCAGAGCAGAGGCCCGGGTTTGAAGGTACCCCCGAGAGTCCTCTGTGGGGAGAGGACATGCACTCTCCTTGTCTAAGTCAGGACACGTGGGAACTGTCAACCTCAGTGGCAAAACCCATTCTCCATCCTGTGGGGACCCACACCCCAACTGTGACGGGACAGACACCACAGGAAGAAGACACCCTGTGCTGGATTGGGGGTCAGGAGATTCCTGTTTCAGCCCCGGCCCTGTCGGCACCCTGCTCTGTGGCCTGATATAGGTCTTTGAACCTCTCTGGGCCTCAGTTTCTCCGTCTGGAACTTGGCTTGGGTTGGCCTAGATGGATGGCTCAGATTCTCAGACGAGGATCTGCTTGTCTCAGGGCTTCGGTCAAGCTATTTTGGGGCCTTTGGGGCAGAGGCCAGCCTCTAGCCTCTGTGGCAGTCTGCATTTGTCTTTTTTTTTTTTTAAGTTTATGTATTTCTTCCATGGAGGGGGCACCCCCCCCAGCAGGGTCTTCATGCCATGATCTACGCAGCCTCGGTCATTCAGGGTATGCACATGCATGCCCCTGCATGTACAGGGAGACCTCGGGACGTGGACCTAGGGCTTCTCATGTGGGCCTAGTGTCGTGAGCACTGTGTCACATGGCAGCACCTGCTGGCCCTTTCTACACCTTCGAGTTCAGGGACTCCTATTTGAAGAAAGGTTGTATTGAAAACCTTTTCTGTCAGAGATAATGCCTGAATTCTCATCATTGGAGTTCTCATCCCTGCAGGCCGTGGGCATGTTCCTGGGAGAGTTCTCCTGCCTGGCTGCCTTCTACCTGCTCCGCTGCAGAGCTGCAGGCCAGCTGGACTCCAGCATAGACCCCCAGCAGCCCTTCAACCCCCTTCTCTTCCTGCCCCCAGCCCTCTGTGACATGACGGGGACCAGCCTCATGTATGTGGGTGAGTATCTGGTCCTGTCCCTTCCGGCTGGGAAGGGTTAGGAAGGGCCACTGGTGGAGCCTCCACTGCCAGCCCACCCTTCTGCTGTCCCACAGACTACACACACACGCACGCACGCACACAGCTAAGGCGTGTCAAGCCTCGCTGTGTGCCCAGCCCGTCTCCAGCCGGTCTTGGCCCTCAGGAGCTCACAGCTGTACATCCCTCCTCTCCTAGCCCTGAACATGACCAGCGCCTCCAGCTTCCAGATGCTGCGGGGCGCAGTGATCATCTTCACAGGCCTGTTCTCGGTGGCCTTCCTGGGCCGGAGGCTGGTGCTGAGCCAGTGGCTGGGCATCCTGGCAACCATCGCGGGGCTGGTGGTCGTGGGCCTGGCTGACTTCCTGAGCAAGCATGACAATCAGCACAAACTCAGCGATGTGATCACAGGTACGGCTGCGGCATAGCCCTGCCCGGGAGCCCAGCACAGGGCTGGCACACGGACGTGAGTGAGCTCTGCTGCAGGCCAAGGCCTGGGCGAGGGCAGCAGAGAGAGGAGCAGGGGAGACCAGAGAGGGCGAGGCTGCACCGGGGAAGAGTGGTGAGCCGCCCGAGGGGTGGTGAAGAGCAGGCCAGCTGAGGAGGGCCGTGTGTCCTAGGACAGACAGATGTGCTTATGTTCCCTGCTGGATGTGGGGGAGGAGAGGAGCAGAGCTCTTCAGGCACTTGCCGAGTGTCCACCTGGTGCTGAGCTCCGAGCACTCATCACAGGGACCCTCACCGTCCCCAAAGGGAAGCCTCACAGCCCCATTTACAAGGAAGTGACCACCCTAAGTCGCCCAGCCAGGCTCAGGTAGCCAGAAATGTCTCCTGCAAAGCCTGTTGTTTCTTGAAAGACCTGCTTACCCCGTAGGGCAGCTCTCAGGCCCAGGCAGGCCTTTGACCACTGAGCTGCAGCCCCTGGGCCAGGGAGCAGGTTCAGGGAGTCACGACTGTGCCTTGTGGCCCTGCCAGGGTCAGGTGCTGGCATGGTCTGTCCCCTTGGCCATGCTGTCATCCCACCCGCCCAGCCCCAGCACAGCCTTGGCCTCACTGGACCCTCCTTTCCCACAGGGGACCTGCTGATCATCATGGCCCAGGTCATCGTCTCCATCCAGATGGTGCTAGAGGAGAAATTCGTCTACAAACACAACGTGCACCCGCTGCGGGCAGTTGGCACTGAGGGTGTGTGCGGGCCCTGGGGGGTGCACTGGAGGGCAGCGTGTAGGGTGGACTACACGAGCAAAGCACAGCACCTAGGATCTCTGGGAGGGCTGCCCCTTGCCCCTTGCCCCTGACCACTTCCCCACAGGTGTGTGGGCAGATCTGACACTGCTGTGTCCAGAGCTGGGGAGACCAAGGACCAAGATGAATGAGATGCAGGCCCCACTCTTAAGGGGCGACCAGCAATTGGAGAGGACCGGGCAGTGTCTTTGAGCTGGGACCACTCATGCCCCAGTGGTGTCTCACTTGCCAGACGTGTGCCTCAGTCTCCCAGGCAAGAAGCTGGCATTCCAGTTGCAGATTTCAAAGGCAAGAGAGGGGAGGAGGGCACTCCAGCAGAGCAGAAGCCCAGGAACTGACCGTGGACCAGGAAACCAGTGAGGGGAGTAATTTGAGTGCACTTCAGGTTTGATGCTGAAGCTGGCATTCCAGTTGCAGATTTCAAAGGCAAGAGAGGGGAGGAGGGCACTCCAGCAGAGCAGAAGCAGGAATTAAGTAGGTCAGGTTCCTATCATAGCAAACCCTGGCAGCGGGCAAGTAGGTCTAGACTTTATGTGACAGGCAGGGAGGAACCACTGACGGGTCTTGAGCCTAGAAGTAACTACCATAATTAAGCTTTAAAAATATGAGATTAACTGGGCCAACTCGTGGCCTGCTGGTTAGAGCAGCTGGTTTCCACATGGCCAACCACGCAGTTGGCGTCCTGGATCTGACAGCTTCAGAAACCTACTAGGCCTGTGTATTTGCCCAAAATCCCAAAAGGAGGGAAAGATGGAGAAGGGATTGCAGCCACCACCACCCCACATGCCCCTTGGGCAGTGCTTTCTCCCTTTCCCTCTTCCCCTTTCTCTCTCTCCAACAAGTGCATGCACCCTCTGGTAGATTTTTTTTTTTTTAATACAAGATTAGCAAGACAGATTAGAGCCCAGCTACCCAAAACGGCCTGTGGACTGGCACGTGTGAGGGAGCTGCTGGTGCCTGGCCCCCCGTGGGAGCTAAGGAGCTTACAGCAGAGTATGAACTGTTGCAAAGCAGACTGTTTCCACTCCTTTTTAGTTTCTAGCCAGACTATGAATGAAACAGTGCATCAGCTTACATTCTGACGCTAGCTCCTCGTCACAGACCAGGAGCAACTGAATTGAGAACTGTGTTTTTCCAGGCTCCCGACAGCAACACAGTGAGTTGCAGCCAGCAATTCTTTTTTAAATGAATAGAATAGAATTTTAAAATGTCGGAGAGCCCTGCACACAGGAAGGGTAGCTATTGTTTTGTGAGCGTGTTTGTACTCTCCTGCCCATGTACACATATTCTGGTCACAGTTTGTTTTGTTTTTTAGCTTTTTGATATGGGGTGCGTGCACTCACCAGAGAGAGACAGATAGGGAAAGTGAGAAATCACTCCTTAAGGGGGATGGCCACGCTACAATCCCTTCTCCCCCTGGGATTTTGGGCATGCATACAAGTGCGCCCAGCATGATTTTCAAGCCATCGGGTCTGGGATTCGAACTGTGAAGTCAGCCGTGTCGAATCCAGTTGCCTCAACGTCCACACCACCTGCTCTACACCACAGTTGTTTTTCTAAGACCAGGTTTCACCATGTCATGCAATCCTCCGGCCTCATTGTCCCAGCCAGGACCCAGGGATGTGCCAGCATACCTGGGCTTGTTTGACAGGGTCTCACTGTGTTGCCCAGGCCAGCCTTAGGCTGGTGATGCCTCAGTCACTAACTGGGATGACCAGCACACTGCATCACAATTTAAAATGCATTTCTTACTCTTGGTCCAGTCAAGAAAGGCTGGTTTCTGCAGTTAGCGTAATGACTATGTCGCTGGACTCCCACATAGTCTACCGCAGTTCGTGTCCTAGACCCGGCGGCTTTAAACTCATGCCGGGCACGTGTGCGTGCGTGCCCAGGATCCCGAGAGGAGAAGGGATTGCGGCGTGACCATCCCCCCTGAGTGGTGATTTCTCACTTTCTAAAAAAAAAAAAAAAAGAAAAAGAAAGGCTGGTTTCTGAATTCAAATACAGAACGGGCAGCGAGAGCCCCTTTGGAAGGCTGTAAGCTCCTGACGAGAGGGCGAGGGGTGGCTTCCAGGGCCAGGCCATGGCACCTGGCAGGAAGGAGCTGGTGGGAGGTCCCTAGGAAGGGGCGGCCCAGAACCTAGGGCAGGCCGGCAGGTGACGTGCGCCCTCCGCTCCGCAGGCCTCTTTGGCTTCGTGATCCTCTCCCTGCTGCTGGTACCCATGTACTACATCCCCGCCGGCTCCTTCAGCGGAAACCCTCACGGCTCGCTGGAGGACGCGCTGGACGCCTTCTGCCAGGTGGGCCGGCAGCCCCTAATCTCCCTGGCGCTGCTGGGCAACATCAGCAGCATCGCCTTCTTCAACTTCGCGGGCATCAGCGTCACCAAGGAGCTGAGCGCCACCACCCGCATGGTGCTGGACAGCCTGCGGACCGTCGTCATATGGGCGCTGAGCCTGGCGCTGGGCTGGGAGGCCTTCCACGGGCTGCAGATCCTTGGTTTCCTCATCCTCCTGATGGGAACGGCTCTGTACAATGGGCTACACCGTCCGCTGCTGGCCCGCCTAGCCAGAGCCCGGCCCCCTGCAGAGGAGAGCGAACGTGAGAGACTGCTAGGCGGCACCCGGACTCCCATCAACGATGCTAGCTGAGCCTCCCTCGACGCCATTGCTGCTGCCACCCGAAGGCTCTGTCTTCACCCTGAGGCCAAGGCCGCACAGACTGATGGGCCGCGTGTGCCCTGTCGGCAAGACCGAGCCCTGACCCCTTCCTACAGTCCTCCAGGGCAGCTGCTGCCACCAAAGGTGACAAGACGCTTGTCACTCACACCTTCAGTATGGCATTAGCCAGACCCCACAGGCCTGAGTGCCATGGCCGAGCCCAGCCTCCGAGCCCTTTCTGCAGCACGATAGCTAAGTCCTGGACGTGAGCTGCAGGAACTGACAACCTAGCTTTTCTGAATCACAGACTGGTTTACAGGAAGAGATCATGTCGTTTCTGAATCGCAAGCTAGACTGGGTTCTCCAAAGAAGTCAGCAAGTTCGAACCAGAACTTAGCACCGTATTTTCTACCACGTGTAAGATACTCCCTGGAGCTGTCCAAAGACCCAGGTTTCAGGCCGGACTGCTGCTCACTCGGAGTGTGTTCTCCAGCATGTTCCCTGGTGCTCTGGGCCTGGTGTTACACTCTAGCAAATCAGGGTCAGCACTGTGGCCTTTGGTGCCCTTTGGTCCCAGCATCCTCTGGGCCTGTGATTCTGACCAACCTGAAGAGAGTCTCAGCCCATTTGTTGGAATTGCCCCACCCCCAGTGGTGCCTCCCCTCCCTGTGCTCACTGTGATGTCCTTGCTCACACCCCCTCCCTGCCCAATGAAGTGACCAGCGGAGTCCCAGGCGGCCCTCCACGCCTGGGCTATGAATGCATCACCTTCTATTGTAAAGTGGAGAAACGGAGCCCAGAGTTGCAAATCGTTTGGCAAGAAAGGTCTCCTGTTAGGTGCCTGGGGCCCTGGCCACATGATTCTGCAGCAGACTGGGACCTAGAGCAGATCTGGGTCTCAGCCCTACCCCCTCTTCTCACCCTGCCCCCTAGCAGCCTTCTGCACACAGAACCCCCAGGATGGTGGAAGTAGCAGGACTCTGCCGTTTTGAGTCATTCCAGTATCCCCAGCATTGTATTAAGTGCTTATCATTCGTTCTCTCTTTCAAGAGCCTTTAGAGGTGGGCACAGATAAGAAAACAGTAGACGTGAAGCGACTTCCTCACAGAGCCAGTATGCCTCCTAGGTTCGTCTGGTTCTAAACCTAGGCCCCCCCAACCACATGGGTCTCAGTGGGCTCTTGGGGGTGGCTCTCCTGCAGCTGGGCTGGAATCCTCGTGCACTGCTGACCTACCCTGCAGAGAAGGGATGGCTCAGGAGCCCCGGGAGCTGAGCACTCTTAATTCCAGGGTTGCTCATCAGAACTGTAGAGCGTAGCCTCAGCCCGTTTTCCTGGGCAGCTCAGCCATAAAACAAACCACCAAGTTCCTCCCTTAAAATAGACTCTAAAGGAACCTCTCCTTTCTACCAGCCCTGAGTCCCAGGGTCCCCCGAACTTCTCTGGCCCTTGGCCTGTGTCACAGGAAGAAGGTAATGGACAGTGACAGTGGAGATGACAGTTACCTTGTCTAAAACCTGGGGCCTTAGAATGTTGTTTTGAACTTTATTAAAAAAGAAAAGAAAAAAAAATTGACAGTATCGGACTTTTTTTTTTTCTTTTGCATAGGCACTTGCCAGAGAGAGAGTGGAAAAGTGAGAAATCACCCACCAGGAGGGATGGCCATGCCACAGTCCCTTCTCCATTCTCCTCTTGGAATTCTGGGCACACACACACACACTCAGAGTGATTTTCAAGCTGCCGGGACCAGGATTTGAACCACGGAGTCAGCCATGTGGGATCCAGCACCTTAACCACGATGCCACCTGCTGGCCCTGGACTTTCTTTTTAGTAAAAACAAAAGGACACAAGAGAGTGGCTGGGTGTCACTTCTAGAATGTTGGAATGGAAGAACTCATGTACCGGGGAAGAAATCCCTTGTCCCACATTCATTGTTCACATGAAGGTACTGAAGCCCAGCGTGGGAAGAAGTTCCCTGAAGTAACACAGCCAGTTACAGGCAAAGCCCAGATCGTGCAGCAGGAAGCTGCCCTGGCTGTCCGGGACTGCTCGCTTGCTATGGGCTGCCTTCCCCGACCCCCGTCCTGTGTGCTCAACCATGCAATCCATCTAAGAGGGGGTTAGGGAAGCACTTAACCTTTATTTGCATGCTACCTTGGGGGTCTGGATCTCAACGTTTGAAGGGTTGGGGGAATTATGTGGTAAAGGGTGGCATAGCATGGGGGGTACTCCATCAGATGTGCCACCAGCTCGGGCAGATCTCTGCCTCCCAGAGCTTTGGGTCTTCACGTCTCTGCCATGGGAAGGCCAGCCTCCATCTCACAGCATGGCATGAAAATGACCTCAGGTAAGGCATTTGAAGCTGCTTTCAAATGCCCACTGGACAATAGTGTCACAAAAGGGTATGCTGTCCACTAGGGGTGGCAGCGAGGTCCCAGCAGAGATGGTACGAAGCATCAGTTTTGCCCAAAGTAGAAGCATCTTACCACAGAACACCATCATTATGGAGTAAAATGTAAAATTCACATCAATTATAGGTTAAAACTGTCCTAGGGGGCCAGCAGGTGACGTGGTTAAGGAGCTGGACTTCCACATGGCCCCCTGAGGGGGGTGGGGATGGGAGAAAGCAGCAAGTCCCGGACCTGGTGGCTTACTTTCTCGCTTTATCTCTCTGGTCAAATTTTAAAAATAATTTTTAATGGGACCAGCAGTTAGCGTAATGGCTATGTCACTGGACTCCCACGTAGTGAACTGCAGTTCAAGTCCCAGACCCAGTGGCTTAAAATTCACACCAGGTGCGTGTGCGTGCGTGCCCAAGATCCCGAGAGGAGAATGGAGGAGAAGGGATTGCAGCGTGGCCATCCCCCCTGGGGAGGGTGATTTCTCGCTTTCTATCTCTCCGTCTCTCTCTGTCTGGCGAGCGCATGCACCCTATAGCAAAAACCTCTCCAAAAAAATTGTTTTTAATAGTTTTTAAGTATTTATTTATTTAATTTTATTTATTATTATTGTTTAATTTGATCACACAGAGAAAGGGAAAGCGAGAAAGTAAGCTGCCAGGTCTGGAACTTGAACCCTGGTCAGCCATGTGGGAATCCAGCCCCTTAAGCACCTCGCCACCTGCCAGCCCCCAGTAATAAAATTCTGAAAACCAAAAAGTGTCCTAGACTGCTGTTGAGATGATTATAGAATTACTTGAGACTGGGTGACTTAGAGTAGAGGTTTAGGACTGGCCCCATAGCGCAGTGGTTAAGGGAGCCAGATCCTACATGGGCAACTGCCGTTCAAATCTCTGCCCTGGTGGCTTGAAAAACATCCTGGGCACATTTGTGTTACAGTCTACTCAGCAAGAAATAGAGGACATCCAGGCATAGCCAAACGTATTGGAGTTTATTAAGCCGGCGGTGTACGTGGGGGACTCATGCCTCTCAAAACCCCACAGCCCCAAGTAGAAGGAAAAGGAGGCTTTTATAGGCAAAAAGCACGGTCGATTCTGAGTTGATATTGATTACAATGGAAGCTGAACGGGGTGAGGAGGAAAGGGAATGGGGTTTCCATGCGAAAGCAGTTACAGAAGCTGACTCAAGCAGGTTAATTATTTCTGTGGGCTCTCTCTAGACCTTTGTTTAATGTTCCCCATGGCTCCAGGCCGGGGTCTGGTGATTGGTAGTGGCATTGCCAAGGAACATCTAAACAAAAAGATTTCAGGCTAGTTAGCAAAGACAGACTATTAATCACTCTATTTACTCTGGGTAGAAAGAGGAAGCAAGTATAACCTAAAGTTCAAAGATGGAGGTGCTTCCAGCACAGCCCGGTCTGCAGTAAGAGGCCTGTTCTTGAGATACAGGGGAGGTGATACAGGGAGGTAACACGGGAAGCTGACTGTGTAGAGCTCTGAGAGAAAGCAGCACTTGAGCGGGGTATTGAAGGATGAGCAGGAGTCTTCCAGGCTGGGGAGGGAAGAAAGGGGAAGAGGAAGGAACAGCTTGCTCCTGGTTCCACAACAGCAGGCACGTTTGTAGCAAGGTGACGTGTTCAAGAACGGCAGGTAGGCACATGCTAAGATACAATAAGCACGCAGCACAGGAAGTGGCAGGATAAAAAGCCACAGTGGTAGGCAGGAGCTGGTAGGGGCTGTGTCTGGTAGACCTTGCTACAGCATTAGAACTTTTTCCTGTAGACCAGGGGTTCCCCAAGCCCTGGGCCATGGTCTGTGGCCTGTTAGGAACTGGACCACACAGCAGGAGGTGAATGGCAGGCAGAGTGAAGCTTCATCTGTATTTACACCCACTCCCCATCACTCGTATTACTGCCTGAGCTCTGCCTCCTGTCAGATCAGCAGTGGCATTAGACTTCATAGGAACACAAACCCTACTGTGAACTATGCCTGCGAGGGATCTAGGTTGTATGCTCATTATGAGAATCTAATGCCTGATGAGCTGAGGTGGAACTGCGGTGGTGATGCTAGCACTGGGGAACATTGCAAATATTGTATTATGGTGAGTTGTATAATTATTTCAGTATATATCACTACATACGTATCTATGTTACAATGTACCAAATAATAGAAATAAAGTGCTCAATAAATGTAATGCACTTGAATCATCCTGAAACAATCCCCCACTGCCATGGACTGGGAGACACAGAGTGATATACATACTGAAAAATTCATAGTCTAAATAAATTTAGCAAATAGCAGGGGCTGGGGAGAAACTTCATTCGAGAGAACTTGAATGCAGCCTTCTCTTGAACTCTGTATTTATTCTGTGGAAGTTCAGATTACAAACAAAATAGTGTTTTGAAGCAAATAGGTAGCCTTCTCTCAGCAAGCATTACTGTACATATTTATGATGGAAAATTTTGTAAATGTACAGTGAACGGGAAAAGATGAACGTACAAACAGCAGGTTTTCTCAACAACCAAGAACATCTTTAAGAAGGAAGTTAAAGATTTACTTGGAAACACAAAGCCTAGCATGTAAGCGCTATTATGTAGGATGCAGGACACATTAACCTAATGGTACTTGGCTTGCTCCTCTGGGAAACAGGATACAGGAGACTGTGCAGCCTGCGTGCTTGCGCACCCAGTGTGCCAGGTCACTCCGTTGTTTTCCAGCAGATCTGGGCCATCGCCACACAGGGTGTTCTACAACATGTCCCCTTTTTTGTTTTTGCTGCAAAGTGAGCATGACAAATCGTGAAAGTAGATGTTCTTGTTGAGAAAAGTTTTTGTTCTGATTTGAAAGACTATGTAAAACAAAACACAGAGAATTACTAATAAAATTACAGCACCAAGTAAAGAAAACAAAACATGTGCTTGGAAATACTTAAATGGGTTAAGAGAGGCAAGAGCAATTTTTTCACAATACGTAGAGGTGGGAAAAAGAGACTCCAGTGACATTATAATTAAACTGCACTGTTGGCCCTTTAGATAATAGTTGGGATGGTAGCCATGCCACGTCATTTAAATCTGTTGGGAGGGACATCCTTTTGTGTTACGGCGTGGCAATGGCGGGCTGAAAGATCTGAGTCCAATCATTTTCTCCTGGTACTAGTCCTACTGAATTGCCAAGAATAGCCACATCATTAGAAACAGGTTATAGGGATTTGTGGTTGTCCCAGGTCTCGTAACTGCCATTGAGCTTCATCAGTTGTCTTCTTCACTTGACCCCATACATGGGAAATGCCATCTGGGTCCTTGGCATGCTCATTCTCATCACTGACTGCCCTGCTGCACTGAGATGCAGTCTCTTCATGGCCTGGGTCATGTCTTTGCTCATCATGGGTTTTATGTTTCTTCCTGGAACCCAGAGAACATTACAGTTATCTGATTCTTGGATACATGCATAACCTCTCCCCTATGTAAGCAATTTGTCAGGTCCTTTCCAAAGGCCCAATTCAAGATGTTTCTATAATACCAGAGGTAGGGATTTTGTTGTCTCTGACTGGTCAGATGTGGTAGTAGAGTTCCCATAGTGGACAATCCATGGTCAATAAACAAAAAAATTAAGGGTTATCAAGGCCATATTGTAATTGGGTAACTAGGAGGGTCCATGATGCACCCTTTTTATTTTTGTAATTGATGTTTTAAGGCTTGATTAATACATTTTATAATTGCTTGACCTCAAGGATAATAGGGGATACCAATAACGTGGTTAATACCCCAAATATTGCAGAAGTGCGAAAAAGAAGTTCTAGTGTAAGCCAGGGCATTTTTAGTTTTTATGGTATGGGAGAATGCCAAGAACTGCAGAAGTTTCCAGATAATGTTGATGTACATATCGAAGTGACTCATGGGTGTGATGTTTGGTAAGCCAGCATGTCAAGGGGATACTGGAGAATTATAACCTGGAGGGCAGGTGAATTTCATGGGAGAGCCTTAGAAAAGCTTTCCATGTTTTTCTTTCCCTCTCTTTTTTTTTTTTTTTAAATCAGTCTTGAACCCTGCATGTAGACCAGAACTTTTAACTCAGCAACCTTCACTTTTGGCATATATCAGCAGCTCATGAGCACATATTTTATAAACACAGAAACTGCTAAATAAATTTTCTCAATGTAGAACAGAACAATCTTATTAATAAA